TAAAACTGAATAATTTAACTCAAAATACCAGATCCGACTCAGTTGTAAACCAAATAATTGAAAAAAATGGGGCATCATTCAAGATCGAACCATGAACTTCTTGTCTCAGAATTAAAACCTTCTGATTCAATACTAATGGAAAACATTGAAGCATGAGAGCGAAATCAAAATGCAAGCCCCCAAAAGGATCTTTCAATTCATTGACATAGAACTTATCAACAAGAACAAACAAGGGGAAAAGCATGCGAAGCAAATGCTAATAATAATAATACACTTCTCTCCCCCATCAACAAGAACAAGAAAAAACATAAGCTCTAGTACCATAAAAATGGAAGTGCCGAAAGCCATCTATATCTAAATTTGTTTCGCCTTCCAGCAACTTCTATAGGAGGTGTACCCAGTTCAAGCGGCAGCAACTGTTTTACCACTGCCAGAGGCTTTAGACCTGGCTTTTGGTTTGGAAGCATTGGATTTCCTCAACATCTGCACGCATTTCTCCTTCAAAGCATCCATCTTTATCTGCTTCTCACGGCACTCCAAGCTGCAGAAGGCTGCATCTCCCCTGAGATAAAGAGGAGAATGATACTAAAGTTATGATCTTTAAGTACCGACACGGGAAAAAAAACCCGATTATAGCATTATTAGCAACAAGGATATACTAGAAAGAAACAATATTTGACCTTTTAAGTTTTTTTTTGACATAATACCCTGCATTATAGGAGCATATATCAGTTTCACATTTCACATGACTTAAAAGGATCAATCCATCATCTATTTTACAAAAAGAAGAATGAGGTAATGTGGGAAGAAGGGTAACTTCATCATTAAGGTGACCAAACGGGTAAAATGGAAAAATAAAAATAATAATTAATAATAAATTAAAAAAACATAAAGCAATATGAATCATCATTGAATCCCAAGGAAAAGCGGAATAACGATGAAGGAGATACATTTTAAGATTTCAACTGAAAATTCAAAGAAAGCCAGAAGAGATTGAGCTCATACAATAGAAGCAACCCTTCAGCCACTTGTCAAACCTAAATGAAGAAGGAACATACATGTAAATTCCAAGGTCCAAATTCATGTGACACAAAATGATAGTTGTCATGTCGAACACAGCTGCCCATCTGTGACTGACATACAAAATTGTAAACCTCTCTTTCACCCTAAAACATCTAGAAGATGAAGCATGTTACACCTCATGTAACAAAAGTTAATTGCCTATAGACCAGTTTACAATTCCCCTGCAATTGACAGCCCAATGCATATAATTGCATCAGTTAAATACACACGTTAAAAAAATCACAAATATGTACCCATGTGCATGTTTCTACTTTTTGGAGGTTTTCCATGATCAAAACCCCACATCCCTACAGCCATAATACACTAAAAGGTTTTCAGATGCAGTATCTTGCCCATGACAAAAACAAAAAGTTAAATAGATAAAAGAAAATATGACTAAGGTTTTCAGAGGCGGTATCCAAGGTTTCTAGATATTTGCAAAATCTAGATGGAGGAGGGGGCAATATGGAGTCCAAGATGAACAAGATGAAGTATTATAAACTGAAAAGAGGATTTGAAGGAGAAAAATCATCAACAAGACTAGTATTCTTGATAGTTGATACCAAGAGTAAGGTAAAGAATAATACAGAAGAAAACGGATTAAGCTTTACACTTTTACGAATCTTATATATCCAAATCTGAAAAGTGGAAGTTCATTGGAAGCAAACACAAGGTATTCTACAAACTTAAACAGGTTACAAGGTTAAATCATCTGACAGACAAACAAAAAAATAAATTACTAAAGACCAGAAAACAGAGTTCATACACCAAATAAAATCAAAGGAAAATTATCAAAATGTACAAACTGAAGAAAACAATCGAAATTTCAGTTTAGGATCTAAAAAGTCAAGCAAGGAGTCTGAGCTCAACAGTTATGAGCCAAATTATGAGATTTCTAATGATTATGGAAGGTGTTGAATAAGAAGAGGACGGTCATTTCTGAATTACAAGCTACAAGCCAAGGATCAAATGAAAAGAAAATAAATACAAATGCATAAAGCTGCTGCCCTCACTTGTTACCCTGCAAGTTTGGAAAAAATTACCAAAATAAATGGGGAATGATTTGATTCAAGAGACAAATATCAAAATAATTTCGAACAATATATTTAGAAGCCCATCATTTTCAAACCTTGAATTTCATTGATAACTCAACCATTATAACAAATTTTCCGTCTTCCACTTCTTTTGGAGGGAGGTTTTGGGTTTTATTTTTTGTTTTATTTTTTGTTTTTTTTTTGTTTTTTTTTTGTGTTACTGTAAAGATTACATATTGAGAAAAGCAACTGTTCAAGAAAAAAGAATAGATAAAAAAATGCAGATGCACATAATACAGTTAAGATAATCGAAAAGTTTATTAGTTAGCAATGGTCATGGATTCACAAAGAGAAGAAAAGTTCCTAAATTTTAGCATTAAATTAGAAATAAGTGAACATATAAATAAAGGTATAAATATGTAGAGTGGTTTCGAATGCTTTCTAAATTAGATAATCCCCTTATTCTAAAAAATGGACAAATTTTTAAAACAGTCCTGTTTGGACTTTTATTTTCAAATAAAGACCTATTTCGAACTTAATTTTAAAAACCGATCTGGTTTCAGCCCTGACGCTGAAACCAGGTCGGTTTTTAAAAATATTTTTTCGAAACTTCACGGGAGTTGAACTCCCGTGAAGTTTTAAATAGGCTGCTAAACTTCACGGGAGTTCAACTCCCGTGAAGTTTCGGAAAAATATTTTCAAAAACCGACCTGGTTTCAGCGCCAGGGCTGAAACCATGTCGGTTTTTTAAAATAAGTTCGAAATAGGTCTTTTTTTGAGAATAAAAGTCCTAACAGGACTGTTTGAAAATTTATCCTCTAAAAAATACATGATAACCGCAAAAATGAGGTTCTCAACGATTCTAGGCCTTCAATGCAAGCTAAACCATGTTGATGACTAGATCTTAACCCCCCCCCCCCCCCCCCCCCCCCCCCCCCCCCCCCCCCCCCCCCCTCCTTATACGACTCAACGACGGCAATAAGTTAGTGATCATGACCAAATTTTACCCAATCAGCTTGTTAGCCAAACAATTGGAGAATATATGTTCTAAAGGATCATACCATAATCATAAAATGCATGGATTCATCTGCACCTAACCTCAATGTTCTAATAGACAGGAACCCAAATTCGAAAAAGACAAAAACCATAACATGTAGCAGAATCAAACATACAGCTAAACACTAAAAAGAAAATATAGTAATGATATCAACTAACAAGAACAATTTGCACAAAAATTATTCGATCAAAGTTTTACCATCATTTAACCTAACCATTAGAAGGATGCATCCAGTCCGCAGCTTTTTCAAATTAAAAAAAATGTTCCAGCCGAAATAATACCTTAACATTTCTCTTTTTATCAAATCGCATAAACAACCTTCAAATCAATCCAAATCGCATAGTTTTACCTGTAAATGAACGTATCGATCCCAGGTCCAAGATTCCGCTTACAAATCCCGCAAGCCCTAAGGAACTCCGCCGCCTCCAGCGCCGCCGGAGGGAGGATCACTGCGCCCGCCGCCTGACGCTCTAGCGGTTTGGATCTGCAGCGTTGTTGAGATCCGATGCGATGATGGCGGAGGCGAAGGCGCGTTTACGCTGCGTGGTCCGCTTCATCGCGGCGCGCCGCTGCCTCTTTCCCAGCGTCATCGCTCCTTTCCCCTTTTTGGTTTGGGCGGAGCGTGACGGGATTCGAGGGGGGGAAGAGACGAGAGAGAGAGAGAGAATTTCGAGAGGAGAAGAAACGGGAGAGGAGGTGGAGAGAGAATGGTGATGATTGATGCGACAGAGGAGGACGAGGTGGGAGAATAGAATCTGGATCGTTGCAATTTGGCCCCAAAGTGACGAAAATACCCCCTCTCTGTGTTCAGAAAAAGACATTAGATGACGAGTATTTTTGTCATCCAGAGACCAAATTGCAAACAGGGTTTAAGAGATATATGCTCAATTTCTAAGATTCGAGAGACTAATATAATATTAGGAGAAATTTTTAAAATCAAACATTTTGAGAATTTAATCAGTAAAAACGATATTCTTCCTTAAAAATTAGTAAAATCGATAGTTTTATGTTTTTAGCCCTCGAGGGTAGAAAACGATCGAATTTATTGAAGTTTTTTTTTAATTACACGTGACTACTAGTCCCGTGTAATTAGGATCTGCTAATCCATCATTAGCCATGCTAAGGAAATAGAAAATAGACGGGACTACTAGTCCTGTATAATTTGGCCGTTTAATTAAGGTTTTAAATTACATGGGACTAGTAGTTCCGTGTATCGCAAAAATTGTATTTCAGCAAAATCGACCGTTCTCTCACGACGAGCGGTCGATTTTTCTATTTTTTCCCTAATTGGATCGTTTTTGCTGATTAAATTCTCAAAATGGTTGATTTCAAAAATTTGTCCTATAAAATTACTAAAAATACGAGGGAAAAAATTTAATCGGCCCTATTAATAAAGGGTTTTCCTGATGTTCATGTGTCAATGTTGCACATTTCATATTCTGAGTTAGTCCCCTAATGCTTATAAATATTTTCAAAATAATCCCTTCCCTTAGCCATTGAAATTCTACGCTGTCTTTAATATTTTTGGCTGCAATTAATACCCTATTATAACTTTATACATTTAGACCTTCACTTGATGTTAGAAGAAAAATCCCCCTTTTCTCAAAAATTGGGGGGAGAAAAACAATCCCCCTTTTCTCAAAAAAGTATTGGGAGAGTAATTTGATAATTAGTCCTTCCTGGTTAACCATTAATCTAATCTGATTCATAATTTGGATGGTAAATGTAAGAGACAGAGTAGTTGGGGACAAACTTCAAAATGTGAAGATTTAGAGGGCTAGTTTGAAAATTGAAAGATATGCAGGACTAATGTTAAAGATTTGGAAGGCTAAGATCAAAAAATTCCCAATAATAAGGTTATTTTGCATAGTCCCTTAAATTTTAATAATTTGAAGTTAGCCCTTGATATAGTTGAAATTGATATTAGGTCCCTCAAGTCTTATATGTTGCTATTTGATTGGAGAAATTAATTCGAAGCAACTTATAAGTATGGACTTCCTAATAGCGATTTGAATGATCTAAGCGACTAAGTTTGTAACAACTTAAAAGAGTTAAGGGACATAATAGCAATTTCAAAATATTAAGATGCAAGGGGCTAACATCTAAATAGTAAGATTTAAGGGGCTAATATGAGGATTGCCCTATAAATTTCACATAAGCCCCATGTTTGGTCGGTTATAAGGTAACACGAAAATTATTGAAAATTTCATACAAAATCAAAAAGTTGCTTAGGAAGGGGGTTATCTGACAATTTTTTTGGTGTTATGTCATATATTTAAAAGTTGTGTCACATGATTTGAGGAATCAACCATACACTTTTCGGGCACTCCTGAAATTTACTAAGGATCATTTTCCCAAAACTTACACGAGATTTTATGGATTTTTCGTAATAAACACCTTGGAACGATTGAAGGCAAATTTGTGAAAAAAAAAAAATACATACATACATACATGCTAGGTTTTATGCACGTACAATACACGTGATTAAATACCATGATTTAGTATATTTGATTTATTTTCTTACTAAAATTTATTTCTCTGTTCTATTTTGATGGTTTTTGCTCGTATATCTAAACTTTAATATTATGATTATTTATTTTCTTTAATGTTCGTTTAAATGAACTACACCCAATTTAAAATTTCATGTTGATAATTGAATTGATAGGAAATAAATATAATTCGAAGCCAATTTGAATTATCATATTATTTGGGCCGATATGGAATTAAGCTTGACCTAAGAAAGTTTAGTACTGTAAAAGTTAAAAATACTTCAAAAAAAGTAGTGTTATAAAAGAAAGATGAATAATTAAAGCTAATAAGACGAGATGATTGGTTAAAGTGGGATAGAAAAACACAAAAGAGAATATAGTGTTTGTTCCTAATCCTTTATAGACTTTAAAAAATCATACATTAAAGATTAATGCTAACTCTAACATACTTTTATATGATGAAAGCATCCACATAAGCATATAAATATACTAAAAAAAAGTTCATGAAAATCTCTTCTAAAGATTCCTAATCTACTCAAAAAATAAACTATTCATTTCTAGCACACTTTTATATGATGAAAGCTTCCACATAAGCATATACAAATACTAATTTTTTTATGAAAATCTCTTCTGAAGTTTCCTAATCTACTCAAAAAAATTTAGAAAACAATATTTTTCATTCCTTCTGTTTTATTTTTTTTATTGAGCCGACATTAATCCGTCTACACATTTATTATTTTTTATAAAATTAGACAGCTTTTAGATGCTGAACAGAAGTAGTAAACCTTAAATTGGAAATTAAATTTATACATCTTAATGAAAGAATATCAAATAACTATTCCTTTCTTTGCTAAGATTTAAAAATTTAGTCCTTTTTTATGATTTAAAATTTTTAAGGGCATGATTTTGCAAATTTTAAAACTTAAAGATTTTTTTTATTTTAAATTTTACGTTGGATGGTTATAATTTTTATGTTTCACGTATTGGTGGTAATTTTTTGAATGTTAGGAAATTTCTTACAACTATAAAATTTTAAGAGGTTATATAAGTTTTGATATTTTATGATTTTTTATGATTTTTAACTTAACTTTGAGGTTATTTTTATAAATTTTAAAATTTCAGGTGTTTGATGGTAAACTCTTGAATTCATCTTTATTGTTTGTAAATTTTGAAATTCTAGAATATCAGGGTGCTTTTTTATTATTTGAAATTTTGAGGTGTTTCTATAATTTTTGAAACATTGAGGGTATTAATTGTAAATTTTAAATTCTTTGGAGGATGTTGTTAATTTTTAGATTTCATGTTTGTTGTTCTAAGTTTTAAAATATCAGGATGTTTTGTATAATTTTAAACTTTTGAGGGTATTTTGTGTTATTTTTTAAAACTTTTAGGTTTTTTTTGTAATATTTCATATAGTATAGTATGTTAGTTCTTTACCTTAACAAATTAATATAATGGAGTTGTTTCATATGTTTATTAATCTTATTTTTTTCATTGTTGAAATATAGGTAGCTCACATGGGATTAGAATATGATATAATTATGATTAGGATAGATTAAGATTTAAGTGAAACATTCAAAATAGTGAAGGATAATATTGACCATGGAAAGCTTTTTCCTAACTCGTACTTTTACGCCCTATCAAAAGATATAGTATATAAGACCCTTAGTAGTTTATATTGGTTTTTGTAAATTGCATTCCAAGCTGTTAAATGGAAATCAGAAAGAGGAGCGTATATATGTCAAATGAAAACTCATATACATTATTAGGGAAGAAGAAAATCCCAAGTTTAGAAACATAATGAGCTGACATGCCTAGCTCGGTAGCTAACCAGCAATACCTTAGAGTATAAAAAACATGAAGAAACATGAAGGTAGAAACAAAAATATTGTTCACATCTTAGAAACAAAATCAGAGCTTCACCTTCTGCTCGTGCTATCCCTTCTTGAAGAAATAAGATTTGCAACTCCCTTTTCCTTGATGACGTTCTTTAGCTTATCTGTCTACCTTTTATTTGAATTCCATGTCCAGATGGTGAGAAAGTGAGCCATATTAAATGCCATATTTTCAGCCTCAGTGGTCTCCCCACAAAAAAGTCAAGTTATTGCGTGCTCTCCAGATACACCATCATATTACAGGAAAAACACAACACCATAATTTTCGAGCCTTCAATTCCATAGAGTTATCATAGCGCACAGTAAAAAGATGATTTGTTTTATGTGGTAAAATAATCGAGCTAAACTTTGGCGGTGTTGATGTTTAGTGATCACACAGTCAATATGTATCCATGTTTAGATGAGGTCGAAGAGATTGATGAGGGGCCGCTTTCTTCCCTGACTTTATGCCTGGTTCTTTGAATTAGGATGGTTAAATAATCTGCACATGTAGAAACACGTAAGGGGATGGGGATTGATTCCCCCGTGGTTCCTCCAACGATCAAGTCAGTTAATTAACTTGAGTGGGGAAGGTCAAGAACTGTGAAAGTTCTTCAATATGGGCAATAATATGATTCGCAAATATGAGGGTTCTAGTTTTCTAGAATCATAATTCTAAAAAAGATCAGATTAGATTACCCAAAAAAAGATCTCGATCCCTCCCAAGTTAGAATAGTACATCTATTTATAGTGAGGGTGCAATGGTAGATTGGTCATTTCGGCCGAGCACAGTAGGGTGGTAGCGGAGCATGAGCTGACGGCTGCATCGACACTTACTTTACATGTGTCAGCTGATGACTGGAGGGAAGATCACTTCAACATAAGCTGAGAAGTGATTGGAGGTATGGCGGTGCTGACATGGTCCGATGAGTCATGAATACTATTGGGGCTAGAGGCATGATGATGCCTGCCATGCATTAACTGCGATGTGGACACTGTCAGTGAGAGGGGCTCGAGGCGAAAGTTGAATTTTTAACTTCGCCGAGAAGTAACGCCTTTCGAGTCGTCATGGGGGAGACGTCGAGTAGATGGTCAAGTTGGGCTCTTGACGAGTCGTCTTCGACTATAGGATCGACTAACACCACCTTTCGAGTTGACATGAGGGAATGTTGACTCGTCGAGTCGATTAGGTTGAGATCCTCACTGGGCTGGGCCACCAATCTTGAT